GGTCGTGGCTCCGTCACGCCGCGCTCCCGCGGGGGACTCGCCTCGCTGCCCGTGACCGGCGGCAAGGCCGGCGACTGCTGCGGAAACCCTCGCAGGATGAAAACCGCGAAGGGACGGGGCTGGGCACGGGCAGGCAGCGGGGAGCGGACAGGCCGCAGCTAAATCCCGCTCGCCCGCGCCGCTGCCCGGCTCCGGGCTACCGTGGTGGCAGCCTGGAGGCTGCCGGTGGAGGCCGCGAAGGCGGTTGTGCCTCGGGGACTGTCCTTGTCCTCCTGTAAATTTCAGGAGTTATGTTGTGTCGGAGCATCGGTATAAATCCCCGGTTACTTTCATTTGTTGGAGCTCTGGCTTTTTGCCCAGATAACTAAGTAAAATTAGTTTCAGGGGCTATTTAAAAACCAGTTACTTAACACCTCCTGGACAGTTCTCTTCAGAATTGGGTTATATTTGCCTATCTTGCATAAACTGACGTCTGCTCCTGTGCCTTCGAGTGCTCGATGCTGCAGTTGAAGCTGCGCCTCGGCTGCTGCCGCTTTGTGCAGGGCTTGGCCCTTGCTTTCCGGGGAAGAAGCAGGTTGGCGCTGGTAGAGCGGAGCCATCGGTTCAGCGGCTTCGAATGCCCCAGCCTGATCCCGCAGCTACAAGTTGCGCTCCTGTTCTCGGCCTCCTCCTGGAGTCGAGGCTTCTTTTGAGTGGTGCGAACTCCGAACTCTGCAAAATACCCAAGCGGAGACCATCTTTTGCATGGGAACAGTTGATTTTTTTTTTTCTGAAGGGTGGCACAAGGCACGTAAATTTTCTCTGGAGACCCTGTTTAGCATTGACAGGGCCGGGGCTGGATTTTGCGCGTTGTCAGTGGATGGTGGAAGAGGTTGCAAAGCTTGAAAAACTCGTGCTTTGCTAAATGGCCGTTTGCACTTGTTCTGACTGCCGTGGGGCGGCCGAGGGCAGTCTCTTGGCTTTAGGAAGCAGCGCGGCTCGTTCCTGCTGGGACGGTGGGTGTACTGGTTGCCGCTGCCGCTGAGCCTCGTGCGGCGAGCCGGCTGCTGCAGGGCGGGTTGGGTGTGCTTGCACGCTGCCCTGCGTCGTTGCGCGGAGGAGACATGATCCCTCACAACTCCGAGAGCGCTCCCAGACCGGGGAAATACCTGTGCTGGAACAACTGCCGTCTGTTCGGCTGTGCCGGGGCCTGCCGGGCTGAGCTGGGATAGCTTGGAGCTGAAACTTGACCTGGAAGCTTTCTGTGCTCGGAGGTCAGGTTTCCTTTCAAATCCCAGCCTGTGAAGAGGAGTGAGAGCAAAGGGATTGTTTTTGCCTGCAAACCCTCAGCGCTGTTGTTTCAGTGCTTCCCTGTCACTGACGGGGCCGTTGCTACTGACTCTGAGAGGGGAGTGGGGAAGGAGAAAGGAGCTACTCACTTTGAGCTCCAGGAGTCATGAGGTTAGAGGGGAGGTATCGATGTAAAAAGCATTGGAAAGGGTGAAGCTGTATGGGAAGGCCTCGCTGAATGGCAGCAGGAATACCAAATAGTGCTGCCTAGAGCTTGTTTTCATCAGGGTAATACTTGTAATAGTTTGGCTTAATGGAAATGACTTAGGAGCAAGTAAAGCCGTGGCAAAATGGTCCCATTTATCGATCTGAAAGAATTCTTTGCTCACTAAACACAAGTGTCGCCCGGCTGCGGGCTGGCGGCCCCCTCCAGAGGTGGTCTCTTCCAGTAGTGGCTGCAGAGAAGAATCGGGCAGCGTTCAAATATAGCCACGAATCCCAGCACAGACTTGACCCCGTGTCACGTTCTCCGGGAGAAAAGCTGGTTTGCTCGTCACGGCCCCTCCTTGGGAACCGCACTCGCCTGACGTCTCCGAAGGAGCTCCAGCGCGAACGCCTGCGTAAGCTTGAACACGCCTTGTACCCTCTTTTTAGACCTTTTCACGAAGGTGAAGCGAATGACTCGCTCCGCTCGTGCTGACCGCTGCGCGTCAGTTTAAAGGCGGCCCCTGGATGAGGCTTTGGAGCCCGTTTCCCTGTCCTGGGGACGTTTACCAGGTCAAGCGGACTTTGACACGGCATCTGAAGATAACAGCCTCGGCATTCCTGGCTGGCGTCCCCTTTTCCCTAAAAAAGAAAAGCAGAGAATAGTTTGGTGCCTGTTCTTGGAATAAAGGCCCGGGATTTTCGTCCCCGTTTTGAAACGGAGGGCTGGGTTTATTTGCAGAGAGGAGGAGAGCGTGTGCCGTGCGCGCCTGGCTCTAATGGTCTGGCACACAGTGCTGACACAGAGCGTTGCAGTTTACATATAACTGAATTTCACAAGTCGAATGTGGGTCAGCAGTGTTGGGGACACTAACGAAAGGGAATGTTAATCATCCCAAAGGGCAGGAGGCCTGTATTCATAATTGTCTCTGCTGGAACTAATGAAATAGAAGGGAACAGTTGACAATTTACGTATTAACCAAGCCAGCAATTTACATTCAGGCCCTGGTTATGCAAAGTCAGAATCTTGCGCTCTGTAAGAGAGCTGTTCTGATGGCTGGGCAGGAACTGGAGCCGCTGCTCTGACTGGGATTAATTGGGCACCTGCAGGATAGCTTGCTGCGTCTCTCCTTATCTGTTTCCTGCCTTCTGTCCCCCTTCCCTTTGTCTCTTCTCATCTCCCACAAGAAACCCTTTCTTGCTTCTGTTCTCAAAATCTTCCAAGTGACCTACTGAATGAATTGTTTTCCACACAATTTCCATTTATAAATCATCCAAGTGACTTCATTAGAATTCCAGCTCTGTTCAGACGCTGGAGTTGTTTTTAACGCCACATTTTTTCATAGGGGTTGATCCGTGAACGTTAACAGAGTGGACTTCATGAGCGCACTGTGGAGCACGTACTGTATGTTCCCCTGCTCTTCAGAAGCCGCGTTTCGGCCTTCAGGAGCTGTTGGGGACGAGGAGGGAGGAGAGGGACTGCTGTGACTGCTGTGCCATGCCCAAAGCTCGCTGCTGTCCTTCCTCCCCTTGGGTCAGCCACAGCCTGGAGACCCGGCCAGCCTGTGGAGCGTCCCCGCCGCCGTCCCGCCGCCCCTCGGGTGTTGCAGCGAGCAGTACGTTGCTGTAAACGTTCCACCTTCCCTTCTTCTGTGAGTTCAAGCCGTTGCCCTGTGTGTATCGAGCGTTTCCTTGGGACATGAGTATTAATTTTCACCTCCGTTTTTCTCTGGAGGTGGAGATGAGAATTCACAGTCCCGGGAGAACGTGGCTACCTCCCGAGTCCAGTGATCTTTCTTCTGTGCTGTCCTAACTTCTTCCAGGCTGGTTGTCCGCTTTCGGAGTCCCTGAGCATTTTAAATAGCAGCTAGGGAATGGGCAAAGCTAGGAAGGAGTTTGACTAATCCTGCCTAAGGGCGTCCTGTTTTAAGGGGCTACCTGGGGTCGATGTGTTGGATAGTAACCCAAAGCCGTGGTGCTTTGATCTTTGGCAGAGCGGAGCCCTTTTTCTACCATCACAAGCACAACTGGAGAAAGGCTGGAGTGAAGCAGATTTTTTTTTTTCTAGGTTTTGAAGGAGCTGAGCTTTTTCTGGAAAACTGGAGACACCTCTGCTCTTACTTGAAGAGGGTGTTCCCTTCCATGAGAGAACTGCCTTAGTTTCTGTGGTTTGTCTTTGGGTGAGTTGGAATTGTCAGCGGAACAACGTTGGCGCTGCAGTTCTTGGAGGTGGGCACTGGGGTGCTTAAACAGGGTGAAAATCCGACTGGTAGACTTTACTGGTCATCAGGCTTGGCTGCTCTGGGAGGCACCGGGCTCCAGCGGCGTGTTCAGGGTGATCAGCTCGGAGCAGGCTGCGTGCCGGCGCGCCGAGCTTCATCGTCGTCACATCAAATGGAAGTCGCTCAGCGTTGGTGCCGTGTGTTGTGTAACGAGCACCGTGAGGGCCCCGCGTGGTCGCTGTTCTGAATCACTTTCTTTTTCAGTGCTTGTTGGTGCTTCACCTGTCCCGCTGCTTCTTTCTTCTGGCTGTAGGGAAGGCCGATGCTTGTGGACCGCTAATTCCTCAGGCATCTGTTATGCTGCTGCTCACGGGGCCTTTGTTCTCATCATTTGTGTGCTGAGGAAGAGTTGTGTTTTAGTTCTCGTCTGGTGGGGAGATTCCGTAAAAGCCTAAAAGCTGGAGATGGGCTTTGGCTAAGCACAGCTGCCGCAGCGGGGCTTAGAGGGACTGTTTCTGAAAACCTCAGAGTGGCATTACCCCTACCAACTGCAGCTGAAGTGCTGACACGATGTTCCGTTACAACTTTTTTCTTGCTGTAGCAAGTAACGTACGATTACCGAGAGACTAATGCAAGAGCAGGATATAAATTTGAGGCCAGGCTCCTTCTCGCGGAGTCCAAGGGCACTAACACACAGGAAGGGGTCAGGAGAGGCAGCGGGCACGTCCCTGCAGGGGCAGGGTGACCAGGGGGCCTTGGGCACCTGGCCTGCCTTGAGCCTTTTGGGCAGGGGAAGCGGTCTGAAAGAGCCAAGATACTGAGGGCCTGCTCTGAGCTGTGTTGCTGTTGGATTAGTTGGGGGTTGGGGTGGGCACCTCTGCAGCCTGGCTGCTCGGCATCCCTTCCTCCTGGGCCGGAGCTCCAGGGCTGCTGCGGCAGGAGGCGGGACGGAGCCGTGGGAGCCAAGCAGCGCCGGTCAGCGGGGTGCTGGCATCTTTGGGCAGGTCCAGAAGTTGCCCCTGTGAGGAAAAGTAGCTGC